TTGATCCGTCCGATTCCGCGATTTTTCTCCGGTCTCTCGCCATAATTGCCAAGAAAAATAGGTTCGGTAAACCGCCACGTTTTCGGCAGAAATAATATCTGACCGACGCGACGTTTCGAACCGAATATTTCGTGCGCATTAATTCCCATGAGGAGGTTTCGTTATCGAACGACCCAATATAAAAATTACCAACGGCTCGTGTCGCTAATTAGGGCTGCTTGAGATATACACTCACGAAGGCCAATTCCGAACGAAACGGTGCCGTTCTGCGTCCAGATATAATTCTGATACACGACCCATTTCTTTTTTTTACCCCCTCCCAGAGAGAAAGAGAGAGAAATGGTGGTGTTCGTGCCGCGATAATGTTAATAGTTGGAAGTTAAAAGAGACTCGACCGGTGGAAATTTCAAAGGCGATAACGGTAAACAACGTAACGGGGCGATTTCGTTTCACGGACGAGATTCTGAAATATCCAAGGGAAGTTTACGTAACGAGTCCTTTTTATGCATCGCGGTGGAGAGGGAGCGAGAGGACCGAGAGTAGCCTTCTTCGACACGCTTCGCGCCATTGCTCTCGAAAGGCTTTCAGAACCTCGAGCACGTTTGCAAAGTGCTTTCGGCTGGATTCTTAGCTTGATCGCCCGACGAGATGCAAAATTGAAACGACGCGAGTGCAAACAGCTGGAATCGAGATTCCTCGGATTAATTAAAATATTCCCTGCATATTATTTCCGCCCGAACGTGCAGCCTTCGTCCGATTTCCTGTCGACGACGACCGTTCGAACCGAGATGTTTGGACTGGGGTGCTTTACCGATGCAAACGAATGCCTAATAATTCCATCCATTTAGCGTTTTATATAGTCGAGCCCGATAATTATTTGTTTCTGCTCGATTTATTTCGTAATATATACGATGTTGCGTTATCGTTGTGATTTATCTATTAGAATTAATTTTCCGTACTTTCGAGAACGATCCTTGCCTTATTTGATATCGACGGCGACAAATTTCAACCGACAGACAGTCGAATAATAATCGCGCTAAATTGGTGTCTCGTTCGACCCACCGAGTTATTTCACAATTTAATTTAATTAATTATCGATCGCGGGTACATTCATTATTTTCGGAACGGTTGTTCGCTTGTATATTTAAATCGACCGGCTCGTAGCTGTTAAATTATCCATCGGTTATAAATCCTACATTAATTCTAGCTCGAAAGTAAGCCGCTCAACGTAGTAAAACCTGAATGAGCTTCAAAGACGATCACGGTCAATCCCCGGCGTCTTAAATAATTTGCAAATATCGTTGCTACAATTTCCTCGCGGGTATTTGTCGTTTGGATAATTGATGATGTTCGTTTCGTAATTTTTTAATCAAAGCGACGTTCCTGAAAGCGAGAGATTATATTTCTCTTCTCTTCGTTTGTGAGTTTCAGTCTTTCAACTTTCCTCGTAAAGAGAGCTCGTAACGAGTTAATGGATATAATTTATAACAATACTATGAGTTAATACTTCTGTCGAATTCTCGAGGGGAAAAAGAAGAACGATATTCGAATTCCATTCTGAAACCGTTCGAATCGTGGAAGCGTTCGGAACAAATAATAATTGCAGAGAAATTCGATAAGTAATTTCGATCCAAATTCGAGGGAATTCTCTTCGCGTTAACATCCGTCCCTTCGTCGAAGAAAAGAAACGAGTTTAATCCGAAAAGAGAGTTTCTGTGGAAAAGGAAGCACGTCAAATGTCGGCAGTTCGTTTCTTCTTTCTCGCGTTTAATTAGCGCCAACCCCGGTTCATCCAGCGAAAGGAAGGTGAAATTAATTCCGCGTTTATATCGTTTCTACGTCTCCCGGCGGTTCCCACCAGCGTGACAAACAGCCAATCTTCTTTGTGGAAACGCAGCCCCGCGACCCCCGTATTACACGACGTTTTACAACATCTTCCGAGCCGCCAAGTGTCTTTAAAGTCTTCTTCGCTCGCTGCGTGCTCGTCGACGCCTCTACAGACGGTTTTCGACGTTGTAACCCTTGTTTCCTCGTCGAGGCGTACGTAATATTCAACATTCTCTTTATCAGAAAACTACAGGACTCAATGAACTGAAATTTCGTGCGTTAATTAAGATACTCGCGCAAACGTTACACGATTTTTCTCGTGCAATTTACTGGGACCTTGAAAGAAATACTAATAATATTCCCGCGTCTGAATACGATTTTACCTCGTTCTGTAATTGCAAATTTTATAAACGAGCGTACACATTCAAAGATGGGTTTTGGCACAAGTTTTTTGTAACATTTTTGATTCATAAACGTTGAATTCAAGCACTGGTATGTTTGAAGTTTATTTTTAGCTTTCGAGTACCTACATAGCTGTGACCATCTTGATGATTTATCTCGACTCCCCTGGCCATTGTTATTCCTCGCCAGTTTCGCGGGGCTTTTGTCAAAGTCGATCGACGACAAATTCATCCGTCAATTTTCCACCGTGAATCCAGCTTAAATTTCTCGTTCGGTGGGTTGTCAGGCCTGCACGCGGCCACGGCGAATGGTAACGAATAGCCAATCTCCGTGGCGGGAATAACGCCCCATCCACACCACGAATCCACGACTTCGCGTGGGAAGACCACTTACGTGTCACCGGGAGTAAATCAGGAGATGACGATGGCTCGGGGATGTCGAACGCCGTTGACCCCGAATTGGAACGGAAACCGTGGCACCGGTGTAACGATCTAGAACAACGTTTCTTCCGCGGAACGATGTCCAGAAATTGAACGAGCTTGTCCTCGGACCGAGTCCAGTTCTGTGGCCGTCGATGTAAATCGTTTGACACGAGTCGACGATTGTTTCGAGCTCCCCCACAGACCGTGATCGAATAAACATCGAGTTGCGTCGAATATTGCAAAGAAGGAAATAAACAGAGCAGCCGTCGGAGTCAACGAAAATTACGCCACTGTCGCCGTATTTAGAAACTGACTCGATCGTACATGACACCATATACTTTTTATCGAATTGTGGTTTCGAGGAGTCGGTGAATATATTTTGACGATTAAAAAAAAAAAAAATAAAAGTGAAAGGTTTACGCAGAGATGGTCCTGTCCAAGATTTGTTTTTTATATCTTTCAAAATATGCGAACTTCCCCACCGAATTAAGAATTAAGAAAAGCGAACATATAAATAAGGAATAATTCGTTGAAATAAAATTCAAGGAGAAGAGAATTAAAGCCGCGTGGATCGATGGTCGGCGCGTTCGGAGATTAGAACAGGTCGCAGTAATTCCACGTATCCATTAAGCTAGAAAGGGGGATATGTATAAAAAATTAGACCGTTTCCGGTAGCCGCGTTTCAGGGGCCCGTGGCCTCCATACGTCTCCTGTCTTCATTTTTACCTCGTTACTTCGCCGGGATTCTCATTTGCACTTATTCTCTCCGGGAGATGGGAACGACGGGGACGGCCAGCTGTAATCCACGTCGTAGACTCGAAACAGAGTTCTGTTACCGTATCGGTGTGAAAGAATCTCCGATCCCTTGGATTTTCTCGATCCAGGTTACCCAGGTGGAATTTTAATTTTAAATATTTGGCGAACCGTAATCCCTATCCATTGCAAATAGTAACGATATTAGTTTCTGGATGTAATTACGAAGAATATTTATGGTTTTCTGCAACGATCGAGCTACTTTGAAAATTCTTGTCTCTGTACGTTAGAATTACGTAGTCTGAAGAAAACTTAGATCGATTCGATGAAAGGAGTATCACCCGTAACCAAGAATTCTCATCGACAGTTATCAAGCCGCGTGGATAAAACGGGTTTCGATTTCTGGAAACCAATTTCTAGACGGCGTATCGCGTTATTCTCATCGCGCAAATACGGTTGCCGTATGGCGCGTGGAATCGATGGCGTCGCAAAGGTGGGAAATATTCCACGATCGTCATAAATCTGTCGTGTTTCGAGACTCCTTCCGCGCGATGGATTTTCCGAAGGGACCGCCGCGTGGGTCGGTAAATCGAAACAGTCTCCCAGACGTTCCCAGTAACGGCTAGAGTAGCGATAGGAACGATACGATTCGGTATCGATAACATCCAAACAATTCGATATCGAGAAATTTTATTCGAGGGAACGAATCGACGAACGAAAGCATTGTATCGCGATTTGCTTCCAATTTTCCGTCGGACGTTTCGGATAAGCCAATTTTGGGTTTCGTGAACTGATAAGAGTTTCGAACGAATAAAACACGTTGCATGTCTGGTTTGGAATTGTAATTTTTGGACTGTTATCGATAGCATCGATTCTATCGTTCCCATCGCTGGACGAAGGTATCTTTTCGCCGTGGATGAAGTCTCGGATAGGTTGTGTACCAGCGAAGGAATCGACAGGCGATTTCCGATCTCGTCGGTTAAATTTATTTTCACACGTGGTCTCGAGCCACGCGGTTCAGATGAAACGGAACGACCCTGTCCGCCGAGATTCTCTCCGCGATCGTGTCCCGGAGCATCCAGTAAGAAATACCCGAGTCGACACCATAATTCCAAGTTCGCGGGATTAATTATTTGGCAAACACATCTCAATTTTCGAATTTCTCTGAAGAATATTCGTGGCTAACGTTTCTTTAAAACTCTCCTAACTAGACTGCGGATCTTCATGCAAATTCATATTTTTAGTAGAATTAATGAAATGGGAACTTTGTAGAGGGCTGTCTCGACCCCTGAATATAATAAATCTTACTTTAATTCTTATATTGTTGTATATTAAGGCCATTCTGAGTCTACTTATAACGAATCTCTAATACTCGTAAACTTTCAGTAAACCGCTATTACAAACGTTATAAAAGAACAAGTCCGCCATAGAACTATCGAATCTATTTCTCCCCGAATAATTTTACCAAATATCAAGGAAATTTTTACACACGAAAGACTGACGTGTAAAGCGTTAGGATCCCAGACAGAAAAATGTGGAATCGAGAGGGTCGAGTCTGAAAGTGATTCGATTACCGCGATGGTGGCTGATCCTTACCCGTGTCGGAAACTGCACCGATGCAACTGGTGCTGCTGATGTTGTTGCTGATGGTGATGCTGCACGGAGTGCTGGGGGGTGGATCGTGGGGTCCCGACCGGCGTGGAGCTACCCGGGCTACCGATTCCCTCGAGGCCCCTGGAAAGCTTCAGCATTTCAGCGCCGAAGGCGTGAAGGGCGGACATGGCCGACGGCGGCAGCTCGCTTTCCGGTAGCCAAAGTTCGTGGGAGTCCAGGGTCGTCAGTTCCGTGTCGGTGGACGTGCCGGAGGTGTGCTGCGGGGTACCGCCGCTTCCGGCCGAGCTTTTGCTCAACAGAAACCGCTTCCAGGTCCCTCTTCTGTCCAGCCCTGGGGACACGCAATCGAATTAAACTCTTCGCGACTACCATCGACTCAATCAACATTCCAAACAAATTTTCTCGTGCTTTTCTGTAGAAACAACGAACAAACATTTGTCTCCGTTGTTTTAATTTTTTTTGGTACAAAATACACGTCTAAGGCTTTCCCTGTTAAATGAATGTTCCAATGTCCCGTATGTGGATCATGGACAGCGAATGCATCGAGTCTTTCTTCGAACTTTCGCAACGATGCCTGAAATTTCGCTAGCACATTCCCAGGGCAATAAATCGCGAGAAAATGCAGGGAAATACTGTATTTTGAGAAATTCTTCCCCCCCGGAGTCTTGGAATTAATTATCCGACCCGTAGACGAGGCTCCAGAAATTAAGACGACGAGAAGAGCCCACGGGCCAGCCGTGTTCGCAGTTTCACTCGAGTCTGGTTGATTTATGTCCACGGGTGCACGCCCCTTCTGCATCGGCTCTCCAACCCCTCCCTCGCTATTGATTCATTTCGTCGAGCGATTATTCGGAAGCGTCCTTTTTAACATACTGTGTCACGTCCGGGACTTCCGCATAATGGGCCGTGATTTGCATGTTCGCCCGTGCCGGGTCGCGAAATTTCTTATCGAATTGGGCGTCGCCAGACGCCGAAAGAAACGATAAGAGGGGGGTCTTTGCGTCTGGCGAGAAAAATGTCCCGTCAAACGGACGAAAATGATCGTTAATTTTCCTCGATAAAAAGGATGCCTCGCGTCGATAATTTCTGTTAATTGTTCGCCGCGATTCTCGCGTTACGTGTAAAGTTACGTGCATTTCGGAACGTTATTCTTCGCGCGGAGAATCGGGAAAATTTGCGCCGGAAGTGACTGTCGTTCGGGAGTCGGAACTTTCGGTAGTTCAAAGCTGCTCGAATACTTGAGGGCGGAACGACGAGAAGTTCGAAGTTCGGCGTCGACTTTCGCGAGCGCCAGGAATCGTCGAAGAAAATTGGAAACTCGACGCGCTCGAATTTAATGGCCGAACGGAGTGAATCTTTATTTCTACTTTCGACGCGCGCGGATCGTTTGGACGGATCGGGGATCTGTTCTCTGTTTTTTTTTTTAAAGAATCTTGTTAATTTCTATCGCGAATATCAAAATTGTTCTCGGGAATTTTTCAGTACTTACAGTTTAAATTCGACTCACTAATTTCATCAATCGCGAGTACGTGTTATATCGAACAAAACATGAACCGAGTTGTCGTGCATAATGTGCACGTCGCCCAGGGGCGTCGGCGGAGCACAAAGGATTAATATCAGCCATTTTAGGAGATCCGCTTTGTCATCCGCATACGAGAATAATCGGCCCAATGACAGAATGCAGTATTTAAATACATCGTCGTCAGCGTCCGTATTATTCGAGTCGTGCAAATATAATTAATACTTCATTATTTGAATAATAATGCCGCGAAAGCAAAAGTGCAGTCGCGAGGTTTCCATATTGTACGTGTTAATAAAACAAAATTAGTGTGAATTTATATTTAATGTTAATGTCACAATTTGACTGATGTAAATTTAATCCGTTCGTGAATCGTACGGTCGAAGCAGATATTTGTAGCATTTTGTTTACTTCAACTCTGAGGGATTGAAATAAATATTCGAACGATAATGGACAAATCATAAAAATTAAATCTACGAGACAATTGGAAGAATAATAGTGAAATAATAATATCCATAAGCTAGTCGCGTGTTAAATTTGTCGAATAGTCCCATTTGGCAGTGAAAATGGCCGCGTGGATCCGGAATCCCTCGAAATTCGCGTTAATCGATCGCGTTACTGGGTTTACGATCAGCTAGATCTCGAAATGATAGGGGTAAGTTGCAGTCGAATCGTGAAATTTCTTCTGCGATTGCGATGACTGGGTAGGATCGAAGACACAGAAGGGTGGAGCTTCAATCTTGATCGACGATAAAAAGCCGGTGGAACGATGTGAATTATAGCGGTGATAAATCACTGGTAAATTTCAAGGAATGGAGGAGCGTTCAGTGAATAAAACTCCTTCAATTTCTTCGTGCTTTTTTTTCGTTTCAGGAAGGAAGAAATTTCCCTTGATTCGTGACTGCTATGCAATTTCCATGTAATTGTTGGAATCGTTGCTCTTTAAAACGTCTTCTTTAATCCGTCGCAGCGCCGTGCTATTGTTACATAGCGTCTCTATGAATCGAAGATTCCGCTGTCGCAGTAATTTGCCCTTTCTTTATTTGCTTTTCCATCGAGCGTCGAAGATTTATTATACGCAGCATTAAACTTCTCCCCTTTCGACGTGTAAATTGTTAACTTGAGAATATTAATGGAAATTAGTGATAGTTATATTTTTTAATAACCTGGTAATTTTATTCTTTCTTTGGAAATCATACAGCTCGATTGGAATTATTTTTAATATGATAATTTCCTGATACTCTGTTATGTTAATTTACACGTGAATCGACTACCTATGCAATTCGAAAATATCAAACTCCTCTCTAATTATCGTACAGTTTACTCAATGATTCTAATTCACCGTAATCGTGTGTACGCGATAAAACGTAAATTAATTAGTCATTTTACGCAATTATTATATCGAGCTAAACTTGTTTCGTAGTTGTTGTATCAACTTCGATATACTCGTTTCCGAGAATTTGTTCGTTACAGCGTGACCCACCGAAATTACGAAATTACGCTTTAATATTGCGACGAAACAAATTTTCGAGCGTTGTAAATATCGAGAAAGGAGCAAAAGTGTTCGACACATCGATTCCAACGATAATAAAAAAAATTCATTAACAAGTTTCCGAGTTTTATCGATGCACGAAGTATTTATTATATTTACCAAGTATTCGAACGCGCATAAATTTGGCAAGTGGACCCAGCCTGATCGGAATTCGGAGATTTTCGTATTTTGAGAGGCGACACGTTCTATCGCAACTTCTAACAATTCTTCCTAAGGTTCTTTTTTTGCCTTTCGGTTTACAGACACTTTTGGCGCTCGTTGCGCGGCCGCGAAACACCGACGATCAATTTGCAAGTTAAATTGGCCGATGCAAATCTTCGAGTCGAAAGAGGCGTCGGTTCGCGCCCCAATTTGCCGACGCTTAGACTCACGGAAGTTTGGCACTGTTCTTTGCAATTTGCCAGTCGACTTTGTCGAAGTATCTCGACCCTGTTTCCCGCGGTTTCTGATTAATTCCACCGCCCGTCAACAACGCAAAATCATCGTCAGCCTGTTTCTACTAAAAAAACAATCTTTGTTCGAACTTTCCATCGGAAATCGACAAATTTTTAAGCGAAACAGTAACCGTGCAGCGAATGCTATTTTCTCCGACGATAGGAGTTTAAGAACTAATATTCTCGTCTCATTATTTCGAGGATTACAATTTGAAGCGGATTCTGAAACACGGAACTCGAAACTTACAAAATTCCCGTACTTCCAAGCAGCACAAGTTTTCATGTAACGCGTTTCGCCCTTAGAAATAGAATCGAACGAGGGAAGAAGCTGGAATTTCTATCGTAACACAATTATCTCGGTAATACGATTCTATTGCAACATTTCACAAATAAGGATACTAATTTCCTCGAACCTTTTCGTACTTCCTTGCAACGCTCGTGGACTTTCAAATAAAATATAACATTGGAGCTAGCTATTTTACTCACGTGACTTTTAAGTATTTTATCGATATATTAAATTTTAAATGTTCGATCTATATAATAACCTATATAAAATAGATTACCAAGTGGTTAATAAATTTTCTTATTAAACGATAGAAACGGGGTCCACGCGTCGATCGAAACAAGAATTGTTTTCGAAATCCAATCAACCGGGCGCGAATAATTTCGCCCCGAGATTTTATTAATATTCAATCGGGAATTGAATTCTTTCCGCGCAGTTTCGCGCGCCCGTCGGCTTTGAAATCGAAATCCCAGGAAAATTTTTTGAAACTTCCGCCGTCGATGTATATCCGATTCAATTAATTTCGGGGGGAAATGATCGTCGTCCGTTTCTTGAGAGACGACGGCGTGAAATACGAGTACGCGACGCTCAGAAATCACCGTGAGTTACAGAGAAGGGTAAATAATCGAATCTCGCGTCGAACGGGCCATCGAGCAGTAAACGAGAATCGATAAATTTCTGTTCCCGAGCGGCGATAATTAGTCGCCGGGCACGGTCGTCGATTTTTCTCGCCGGGACGTTTCTCGTTTCGCGTTTCCGTCGCGGGAAAGCGTTTCGTTTTAGGGTTTCGAACTCGTAAAAGGGATCGATTTCTTTTCTGTAGGAGGCTTACAGCTGCAACGGTGAACAAAAGGCCTGACCTGTACGCGTCTTAATCGCAATCTCCGCCGAATTGCCCACAAACAGAGACAAAATTCTTATCCAGACAAGGATTTCCAGCAACGAACGAAGGACAAACAACTTTCAGCGCGTCGTTCGATATAAATTGCAAATCTAAATTATATATTCTAGCTCACCAACGTTTGAATAATGGATGAACGAACGCTCCGTATAGCAATAGTTTTATACGCGAAACACAATAGTGCATCCAAGTATAAAGGATAAGATTTGATCGTTGACTTTTTCTTGCGGTTTCGGGAACGAAAGGTGTCATACTTCATCATCCAACGACTGATCAACACACCCGTGTATCGACTGCTCGGTGTACCGGCGAAAAAAGACCTTGACAGAGGTATAATTCACGATGAGAAATTATGACAGATTACGGATCGTTAATCTCCATGGTCCCGTTATTGGACGCACGATAATCCTCAAAATCGTGAAATCGGATTACTGTCGCGACTCTCTCGGAAGCAACTTCGAAACAACAGAGGAATCTTCTTCTTTAGTACCGTATACATTATGTTTGCCCAACGTCGAAGCAATATTTGGACGTTGACAAGGGAAACGCACGATTAGGGCGATCGGTCTTTGGCTGAAACCATAGACGACAGCTAAGATAAACAAGTTGATGGTCCAGCTATTTTTGCGATAATTATCTTTTGCTAGCTTTAGTAGAATTTTAGATTTCTTTTCCTTTGAATGGTTATCTAGGAAAACAGTTTTAAAATTTTAAAAATTTAATCCCTCGTTTAATTACTAAATGGAGATCTTCAAAGATTGCTCGTGTTTCCTTCTTCTAACTCTTGTTTTAACTGCGTCACGATTCCGCGCTCGTTTCCGCGAAAGTTTGCAAGGTACACGAATTATCTCTTCTTTGTGCAACAACGTCTTAGGCGCTCTTCCGTTGCAATAGATTGCTTTGGCGTCTTCTTTGTGAATGATCTTGAAAATTTTAGAGACCCCCGGCGAGTAATGGATCAGCTACAAGCAAAAGAGAACTACGCGAACTTTCTCTCCTTTATACACGTTAGATCTTTTCAAATAGACTGGAGGGGAAAATTGCATAAACTTTTCCTCCATCCTTTCCACTACTTTAATCCGGTGTTCCACGGTCGAATCGAATTATTTCGAGACCTTCGGTTTTAAACAAAATAAAAAGGAAACTTCTTTGCTCCGTCGAATATTGCAAACGTGCTCCTTTCTTGGATCTAAAAAAACTTGAACTCCAAAGACTGGGGAAATGTCAGTTTATTTATTTTTAAGAAATTATAAGCATCGTTCGACAGCATCACCAAAGTTATTAGCGTCAGGGAAAGTGACAAATGGGAAATTGGAGATTAGAATGTGGCGGGTTATTGTTCTTTAAATGGCTGTTGGACTTGTCAAGATTTCGAGTTAGAAATGTTGAATAGTACAACCCCTAGCAAACACGACAATACGGAGTCACTTTCAAATATTGTAACTTCTTCTCAGAACTTAAGTCGAATACTTTTTCCCCAATTTTCTAATCTAAAACTGTAATTTGTACTATAGAGTACTATAAAATTTAGACTGTAGATCTTCATGCAAATTTATATTTTTATTAAAATTAATGGAATGGGAGCTTTGTAAAGAGGTGTCTCGATCCCTTAGGACAATAATTCATATTAAGTGCATCCTGTAGTTTCTTGAAAATTAAAATTTCCCTAGTGACCCTCGATAAATATTCTTTTTAATTTATAACAAAGTAGACTTGCACTAGTTTCGAAAACAAGATTTCCCCCCATTTATACGAATACGAGCTACTGTATATCATAGGATTTTACGGTTTGGAAGAGTGCAATGTTTGAAAGTAACTCCGTATTGTAGCGTTTGGTTTAAAAACTGTCTGCCATGGGTCGAGGCGATGATCCAATCAGAAGCGTAACAGGTCAGTGTACCTGATAATACACTAACCTCCCGGGGGTGGGCCTTGAGGGCCGCCTAGCCATCCGGAGGACCATCCAGTAGTTCCTCCGATATTCTGTCGCTGCTCGGCCAGCAATCGTACCGTCAGCGCGTACGTGAGCAGCATCACTCCCAGCGGTATGTAAAAGCAGATTATGCTACCGATCAGCTTGTAAAGGGGGTCCGGTATCTGACACGCGCCGTCCACCAGCAACGAGTCGTCCTCCTGTAACACGGCCAAACAGGATTATGCCATTAGCGGTCGCGATTCGATCGAGCTTCCGTATACACGCTCTCCGCGGACTGTACCCGGGGTCCTTTTTAAATTTAGTCCTCGGTGGTTTGTTTGCCGACGGATTTCCCGTTTCCCGGCTCGTTCCTCCGCCGGGGACCGTGAGATTTATGTAAATACCGGTTACTATGGCCGAGGTGTTATTAACGCTCGCGTAGGAAAAGTCGGAGCTGCGGGGGAAATCGTCCAGCGGAAAGTTTCAACTTAATTTGCATCGTGCGGGTAACGGTAATTATGCGTCGCGGTTTTCGAACTACATGCGATGGGAAATGTATGCTCCGAGGAGACGAGTAGACGTAATTTACTCTTTTTTTAAATTCGAATCTGCCGCCCGATTCCGGTTTCTGCTTTTCAAATTCTCGATTTTCATCAGGCACTCGTACTATATCTGCATTACATCGGGGGACTCATTTAACTTTTTCATACACTCTGCTAAAAACTAGCACACCCACTATTTATGGAACTTATTTTTCCTTAACATCCTAGACTCATTTTCCTTAACATCCAATCTTGAGAATTAATTTCTTTAGCTCCCAACGATGAATCACCTCTCAGAAGCTATTCTAAATAATTCAACGATGAAGATTTGAAGGGAGCTCAGACAATGATATCTAATCTTTCAGTTCACGGTAATCTGATCGTGATTTTGTCACCTGTTTCAGAACTCCCGAGCAATGCCCAAGCGTGGTGTCGCTTCTGGCGGAAAGTTACAACCCCCACGTGAGATACGGCGCGGCGATGGCTTTGGGGATCGCGTGTGCTGGAACAGGCTTGAAGGAAGCCATAGCCCTTCTCGATCCTATGACCAACGACCCGGTGAACTTCGTCCGTCAGGGCGCCCTGATCGCCTCCGCGATGATCCTGATTCAGCAAACCGAGGCGACCTGCGCCCGTGTCAAGGACTTCAGGGCATTGTACGCCAAGGTGGTCGTGGACAAGCACGAGGACGTTATGGCCAAGTTCGGCGCTATTCTCGCGCAGGGCATCATCGACGCCGGTAAGTTTGCTCGGGACATCGTTAACAGACCCCTCTAACGAGACAATAACGTTCCCCGAGGGTTCGCCTGACGTCGGCGGGAATACAACACGTATCGTCGTTCCACGGTTATGGCGTACATTGTTCTTTCGCCGCCCTCCGGGTGGGAAAAGTGAAATCGAAGCTCTTTCCTAGGTGTTTATCGTTCTCGCAATGTTATTTCCGAATCCCCTTTTTTCGGACGTCTACGACTGTAACTGGAAGCCGTTGGAGCAGTTTCATCCTTTTTGGAAATTTTCTACATCGAATAAACCCTGCTGTCTAAGCTGTTTTGGCAGGCCAATGGTTCACCTCGACAATCGAATCAAACTTGTTCTTAGAGTAATCAGTAGGATATCGCCCGAGGGTATCCAAGAAAACAGTGGAAACAAATACTATGGAAACAATTGTCTGGCAACGGTGAACGAAACAATGACAACTGTTCCAGGTGGGCGTAACGTGACGGTATCTCTGCAGTCTAGGACAGGGCACACGAACATGCTGGCGGTAGTCGGCGCGCTGGTGTTCACCCAATATTGGTACTGGTTCCCTCTGGCTCATTGTTTGGCGCTCGCCTTCACTCCGACCTGCCTAATTGCTCTGAACTCCCAACTGAAAATGCCCAAGCTGGAGATCCGCTCCAACGCCAGACCCAGCGTCTACGCTTATCCGCCCCCGTCCGAGGAGAAGAAACCCGAGGAAAAGGAGAAGGTCACCACCGCTGTCCTCAGTATCGCTGCCAGGGCACGAAGACGCGAGTCCGAGAGACGCGCTCGCGACTCCCACGAGAAGATGGACGTGGTCAGTTTAATTTACTGTTTTAAAATGATCCTTTTAATAAGTTCAGATTGACTGAAATGCAACACAATAGTCGACGAAGAGGATTACATCCGAGATAAACTCTAAGGTTTAAGTTGAAGTTAGAATTTATAACGCAGTAACGTTGTTGAATCCTTCGCCTTAGAGTTTAATCCGAGTCAGCCATTGAATTTATCGTCGAAACAAAAGTCCAATCTGTCGCTGGCTAGAAGATACCATTGATCCAGTTACTATTTTTTTTTATTTCCGATCGCAGGACCCGCCAGAGACGAAGGAGACCGTCGAGGTGAAGGAAGCCTTGCCCAAGGAGAAGGAGGAGAAGAAGAAGGAGAAGGACGAGAAGGACGAGAAACCGGACAAGTCCGAGAAGGCGGACAAATCGGGAAAAACGAAGGATAGCAAGGAAACGAAGGACACGAAGGAGAAGGGCGATAAGAAAGGCAAGGACGAGACCGAGAAAGGGGAAAAGGAGAAGAAGGAACCCGAGCCGAACTTCGAGAATCTTCAGAATCCAGCGCGCGTGTTACGACATCAGCTGAAGGTGATACAATTGGTGGAGGGGAGTCAGTATGTTCCCGTGAAGGACCTTCAAATTGGAGGTATCGTGATGATGAAGCACGTACAAGCGGATACGGAGGAGGAACTCGTGGAGCCTGTAGCTGGTAAGTCGATACTCCACGGTACTCGCCATATTGTTACCTCCCCCCAACCCTTTCAAGGTTGGCTCGGGGCATTTTAAACGTAGCACATTGAATTTTTCGCGTCTTAAAAGCGACTGGAGGGCAACCTCGTCTGCTGTTTCACGACTCTTGCAAATATACTGCGGCAAGCTGGAAACATCGCCCCTGGATTCAGGTTAAAATTTTTTGAAAAAAGTACTTCGCTGAAATAACCTGAACTTACATCGTGAATATTCGGATGGACAATCTTTAACAATTTTTCCCCCCCAGAGATAATATAAGCTGGAATTTTTTTTCAATTTCTCGTTTTGACGATTTCTTCTGTATTGTAACGCACATGGAGTCGAAAATGATTTTTCAACGTGGAATAACGCAGAGAAGAAAATTGTTCGTTCTAGGAAACTAGAAAATATATCTTTTCAGAAAGCGCGTTATTGCTGTCGTGATCGATGAACGTATAGCCGAGTCGCGAGAAGTATTATATCGCCACGTTGCGTTCGATTACCGCCGTTATCTTTCAGCTTTCGGTCCGAAACCCGACGAGGAGAAGGAAGCCGATCCTCCAGAGCCGTTCGAGTTCACGGAGACGTTCACCGAGGAGTAAAGCACCGTCGGAGTAAGGGAAAAATCTCACCGCGGTTTCGTCCCCGGATCGCAAGTCGTTCGTGCACATGTATACGCGCGTGTAGTTCGCTGTCTGTAGAAACAAAAAAGGAAGAAAAAAAAACTACGAAAATTGTCGCCCAACCCCTCTGCGTCGATACGAGTACGCCGTCCTCTCGCAACACTTTCTTTTTTATTTTCGTACCATTAAACCCCGCTCCCACCTGATCGCTACTCGATATCGTCCATCGTCGAACTGCTGAAATACTATTTCGTTCCTTGGACTAATAATAAATATAATTTGATCGTCGGAATGCGTCTTCTTTACTGAAACCCGGATTCCACTTTAAGGTAAGCGAGACTTGAAAATTTGTTTAAATATCTCTGAGTAATGTTATATTATTATGTTTATTACACCAATTCCCTGAGCATTTATTGAAGATTTTTAATAGAATCGAATAGCAATATGGTACGTTTTGTAATTTAAAATCTTTTCGTTCGTTTCGCCGTTCAAGTTCGTGTTACTATGAACGTTGTAGCGCAAAGGGTTAATAAAAAAGAAAGGTTATAAAACCGCGGTTTGATGTTGGTGTAGTTGAAAAAGCACACAATCTCGTTCGTTGTAGCACATCCCCTTGAGCGTAACGCCTGGCGAATCGTCGTTCGAAGCATTTCCATAAACAGAACTCGTTCCAGAATTCACTGTTCCTTTATGCAAACTACATTCGCGCCCGAAGCGACGCCAACGAGCCGCAAGTATTGTCTGTCGACGTCGGAGTCGCAAATCAGACGGCCCGACCTGCCGGTGAAGCTTCCAACGGGAGCTTAAACGCGCAGATCGAGCGATCTTTCTGCTTCGCGTGAGAATACGCCGCAATTCCCGACAAAAACGACCGCCACCTTTGATCGCGTGCATCGTGATGATACGTTTTCATCCGTTTGCGAAACCTCCCGCGTTCGTTTCCGACGCCTCCTCTGCGCCCAGAATTACAAAGGCAGCAACGATCGATCAGAAACCCCCGAAAATAATCCCCAAAAACGCGTATGCCCGCCAGACAATGCAACATCACATTTTATAATTGTTCCTTCTTTGATTCCTTATTTTTAATTTGAATTTTGTACGTTCGAATATGTTTCTTTCCCAGAAGATTCCCTAATATCAAGTAAAATCTTGCTCAAGTAGTTAATCATGATCATGCGTGCAGAATAATAAATGTTTTCGAAAAATCGTGATTAAATTAGAATTCGATTCAGGTGCAACCCCAATGTACAGTTTAGTTCGTTCCCCCGTCATCCCGTTGTCTGTTCAATCGACTCACCACGCACAGCCCCACGCGGCCTTGCAAACAACCATAATTTCCAATGGCAAGAAAAGTTTGCTCGTTCCGCTCTATTAATTCCCGTTCCCCGCGTGTACTCATTAATCTCGCTAAAATATGTAGCTCGTTTCCGCGCGTAAACGAGACCCGTCGACCGGGTAACCGAAGTAGCGATGACTTTCTAATTAACTCTGGTGGACGTTAAAGCAGGCCCGGAACAATGTGAATTACCAGCGACGTTAAAGCATAACGCGATGCTGTGTTTCGATACGCGTTGTTTACGAGTCGATGTTATTAACATTCACCTTCCGACACTTTATGTATACCCATGACCGACCAAATGACCAGTCTTTCTCTTTCTCTTTTACGAGGCAACGTACTTTTAACTTTTGCATTATATGTATACAAATTTATATTCATTTTCAATTAAACAAACAATTTATAATCCAGTTTTATCGCATATCAGCCGTATAATCAATAGGAATTGCTGAAACATCTTTGTGTGTGTAGAGTCAAAGTAAATGTGAAAATAAACATAGAAGATAGCAAAAATTATAGTAGCTGGTATAGTCGTTGGATAGAGGATGAAATGCCCTTTAAAACGAGCGTTCGAACAAGTCGTTAGCGTTATTAGTTTCGGAGATATAGCGATTTTAGTTTCAAGTCGATGCGGTGGCTAGTTACGGAGATATAAGAGTCCAAAGTGTTTGTTTACTACGGCCTTGTCAAGGCCGTTGACCGCACGTGCTCGTAGTAAATAGTAAACATTACGTCACTCGGTCACTCGGTTAGTGGGTCAACGTGCGACAAAGAGGTCCAACGCGACGCGTAAGACAGAGACAGAGATAGTCAAATTAAGAAAAACACACCTTTACATAAATTACGATATCTCGAAAACGGAAAGTACGATCGACAAAATTCAAAAGCCATTTTAAAGGGGAAGCTTTGCCGCTTCTAACAGTGGCCAAATTATTAACAAAACACTAGTAGTTTCGGAACTGCACGCATGTAAAGTTTAACTGTTTTTAATACGCGTTCTTAAACCGCCTATGGGAGTTCAATCGGTATGTTTAGTAAATGGAACTACGAGCTTTCCGCATACAGAGTATCGTTGAGGATTTAAATTTTAACATCGAAAGGATTAAAACAGAGAATCGCTATCGAGGTAACGAGCAATCAAGCCGGTAATACGAACTGGCTAAAATGTGCGCAATTAGTGGGCGGTAATGTTGGAATATTTGAATCGCGTTCATTAAGATCTGAAAAATTCCCCCGTCGTTAAACCGATCTGGAACGGACGGGAGATCGGGGGAGACAATTGTGATCATTTGGGGAACTGTGAGATCGACTGACTGGGAAATTAATCGCCCGGGATAAGAAATTGTTGAAGGCGACCGCTTTTCGTGGCTCGATCAAGGAAGAAGGAATCGAATTGACTTTTAAACAAATAATTTGACGTTTCGAAATTTAATAATCGAAGGAGGCGTGCGAACTTTCGATCTACGATACGCGAACGAGACCGAAGAATGTTTATTTATGCTGTTTTCGAACTTCTCGTACGAATTAGATCTTTGCTGGCCGGTCGCGTCGAAAATATGAAAAGTGTCCCGGTTCTTTCGAAAAACGGAGGATCTTCCTTTCGCCCGAGGGACGAGGAAATCGCAAGTTTCCGGTAACTTTCCGTATTTGCTTCCTTACGTCACTTCCGTGACGCGAGTTCGAATCGCGCCGAGAACGCAAATTCTAATTTCGCCGAGATATTGACTCCCCGGTACGTCCTCGAACAATTCCTTGGCCCAGTTTTTCATTCGTGTTTTCGTATGGAGATTTTCGAAATTGAAATATTTCGAATTTGCATTCCGGAAAAAAATATACGCGTCCCTCGATGGAAACTTTGTCTCCGGTTGCAATTCGATTCCGAAAACGTAAATTAACTATTTTTAAATCTGACGAATTAAGATTCTGGAAAGCTGAATTAGTAATTGATCATTTAGAATTTTAGAGAAACGAGCCAGAAACGGTTTGGAAGCTTGAATGTAGAACGAAAGAAAAGAAATAACGGATGGACTGAGAACAAGTGCAGCGATGGCGGTTTAGCCTCGAAGCAACACGTGATATTTACTTTTATGTTCCGAGGATGAACGTAAACCGGATGTCGTGTACTTTTCCTGTAAAAGAGTCTCACCTTCCAGTACATTAGACTGAGTGGCATGCTCATAGCAATGCTGAGGACCCAGACGAACAGAATTTTTAGGGTGACTCTCCGTCTGGTCTTGTTGCGACCAAATTTCATGGGGTAACGCAGACTCAGGTAACGGTCCACGCTTATGGTGCACAGATGCATTATGCTAGCGGTGCAAAATAACACGTCCAGGCAGATCCAGGCGAGGCAGTAGCTCGATGGCAGGGGAAAGTATCCTGAAATGAAAATTAATACCTTTAAATACGTATCGTCATGTTTCGAAACCATGACGTAGCTTATAACATTCTCTATGACAGTTCGCTATTAATTCTAGTAAAGGGAATATACTGCAAAATAGTTACATATTACCATTTTCAGGAAAACTATTTTAAGTTCCCTCATCCAACTTGAAATTGTTTTATCATTGAGCAAATATTTTGACTCGAAAAATAAAAAGAAAACGTCAACTACCATTAACTGTTACATTTTAACATGGTTAAATCTTCGTGTATATTTATTAGACAATCGCGACGGAGGCAATGAAAACTCGTTATGATTTTTATAAAACATATTGCAACAGTTTTCAAAGTGAATTCGCGAACATTTTGTCGCTTTTGAGATCTTTGACAAATAAATTCCCGCCGAGCAGAGAAATTTGTGAAACTGAAAACCAGATTGAAAATTAGTGTCGAAATAAACGGGCTCCTTTATGCGGGCGAAAAATTGGTCGCGTCGAAACAGCCGTTTTTTAGAATTTTCTTTATTTGCGTAATCGCGAGCGTTCGTTCGAAACAATTCACACCCCGGAATTGTTTATTCTCTAGCGGAATAACAGCGCTCACGAAACAAAATGAGATCGACGACCGCGTACTTAGATTTATCGTAGCTTAAAGCGCGTAATTAATGATTCTTATTCGGTCGGTTGCTCTGGTATTTAATAAACGATGGTCGCCAGATATTTCATTTTATATTTTACAACGTTTGTAACAGAACGTAGAATTCTCTTTCTATAGAAATTAGTACGTTTCTACAAAATTTACAAAATTTGTTCACCGCGATAAAACTAATTTTAGAAAATACAATGCTGAAAACTTGTTTTCTGGAAAGTCTTAACTATTTAGAAGTTTGTAAGATATACAATACTATATCATCGTTAATAACAATTAGGAACGCTGGCGCAAGTAGAAATGAGAAATAATGGTCGGACAATCCATTTGTAGACACTTTTTAACGCCATATCTGCTTCGGACATTGATTCATACGTTTCGTTTAACAATATTTCACACTGGAAAGTATACGTTGTATTTTATACGCGTTCCATTTTAATTCCGCCATCTTTTTTATCAGCGCACGCCCAATGGAAAATGCAAACAACGGTTAAGTAAGTGAACCATTAACCCCATTAAGTCCCGTGGATATTCGCTGCCAAACAATCGGTTCTTTAATTGGATATTGAAAATTGAATCGACGGATCGCGTTTAGAGGACGAAAGGCGAGCGAATGAAAATTTTAACGATTCCGTTTCGGTTAACTGCCGCCTCGTTCGCCCTGTTTACGTTTGTTTTGTCAAACGAATCGCGCGACGTTTTATAATCGCGCGCGTCCCTCTTGTTCGACGCGTCGCGGCCGTTCCGTATTCGCAACCATGGTTTCGACGATCATTAAAATTAAACGCTCCACTCTTTGGAACGAAGACGACCATCCCGCTTAATGACATTGCGCCGCCCGTAAAAGGAAACAGTGCGTAAAATTTATCGTTAGCTCGAAATTACAGACGTCCGACAAAGTAACCAGTAATAATAAAAATAAATGCGTTCTGGCTAAAAATAGACGGTCCCGGTGGCGACTTGTTAAAATCTTTCGGCGCGTAACATTCCACCGTTAGAAATATACACAGTTTGTCTAACAAGATTGTCACTGATAAAAACTTTTGCTCGAGAGTAATCAGAGAAAGTCGATAGTAAGCATGCCAAATTAAATTGTTTCGATATTTTCCATCAGAAGTTTCTATTATTTTTTTTATGAAACGATCAAAAATAATTCTGGAAAAATTCTGTCGCAACGCTTCGAGTTGCAACGTTCCCTCTTTTAAGAAATTTTATTGGTGTGGTGTGTGTGTGTGTGTGTGAATCATGAGTGGTATGAGTGAGTAACGAATACTTGGAATCGAATGATTGTTTGTGAAAGCGGTGTCGATATCGATGGCGACAATGTTGCGTGTGGCGTCGTTCGTTTGGAAGTCGCGCGTGTCTGGCCCTGTAAAAAGGCAGAGTCGAGCGAGTCGTCGAAGAGTCGACACGATAGTTGAGACGTAGCGTGTAATTACTATTTTCGTTTTGTTATATGTTTAAATAAATTTAACGTTCTTTATCTACATTTTAATTTTATTTCCTACATTGGGTTTTGCTCGACTTCTAATCTTTCTGTTAAACGTATATATGCTCCAAATAATTGTTTTAATATCAGAAGTTCAACCAGAGAACTGAATAGAAGACTGGAAAATGAAAATTCTGGGAAGGAAGTTTACGGCAATTCGTTTGGAATTACTCATCGTTTTAAGAGCTGTTGTTAGTTAGCATGTGACTGAAATATGGGGGAATCGTACTAACAATAGGGCGTGTAAACGGCGGGGCGCTTAACTGCCATGGAATTAAGACCCTAGGGACTTCTCGGAGGGTTCTGTATATTTTTGGACGTCGTGCACAATATTACAAGGACTCATCGAGGGTTTACGGAATACCGAAATGTTTTCTACAAAATTTTCGAGGCAATAGAATCGCGAGCATTTTTTAATTAGAAATTTTTCTCTTAATTTTCCGTGGAGGGTAAATTTCGGTTAAAATTTTAGTCAAAATGTTATATCGCGTGTCGCTTTGATATTTCGAGCGGACGCACATTGTTCACGAGAAACGTATAAATTTGTGAATTCTTTGTCGAAATTCTGTCAGGATGATTTTCTTGTCGCGTCTGACCATTATTCGCTATTTCTACTTGTTTCTTCGCCGTGGCGTACAAGTAGTAATTTAATTCAATAATTTTGATCGTATGGTTTAGAGCGGAAACGTAGCTCGTTTTATGGGAAATCTCCCGCGAAAAGTGTCACCATTTACCCCGTTTCGAAATCTCACAACGTTGCGGATAGATGTTGACCGAAACAGGGCAGACATTTCAGGAACGTGCAATCTGCAGAATTACCATATCCCAGGGTATAAAAACGACGAGAAACGCTCGTGTAAAAATGTTCCCGGGGAGTGTTTCCATTCTAGGATTGCCGGCGACGTTCTGTTGTTGAAACTGGCATAAAAATATCGTGTCAACGAAACTCGAGGACGCCTCTTCCGGGAGCTAAAGTAACGAAGAATGCTGGTAAAAAATTGCGCATCTCTGCGGCTCTTTTCTTAATTGCAACCAACCGTTTGCCGCCTGAAAATTACGTAAATTTCTACAAACTGCTGGTAAATTGCAATTTTCTTTATTAAATCGCGGTCGAAAAAGTAGCGGACGTTTCGAAATAAATTCCTACAAACCGTCGCCTCGCGTTGCTACCGCGACCAAGTGCGTTTTCTGAAACCGTGCACGGAATTCCAGCGGACATTAAGAAACATTCGGAATATTTTTGCCAGTTAGCGTTTAAATATCGTGATGAATTTGCATTAACCGAGCCTGTAGTTGTACGAGAGTAATTGCCTCGAACGACTTAATACCTTCGCTCACGCTACGATAATGACGTATACGGTGCTAAGTATACGTTAATAGACGTTCCCGGGTCGCGATAAAATATAAAGCAAACGCGACGAAAGTAAATTTCAATCGCAAACAAACACGCGCTTTCGGAATGAATTTATTCGAACACCTTTCGTCGACGTTTCTAGTAACATCGATGCGAGATCAAAAACAAATACTTGCACTTCGGCCAAAAATACATTCCAATCTAGCAAATAATTCATTTCTCCGTTTGGTGGGAGAATTTACTTTTAATTCCAAATTTGTTGAACGGGAAAATTGTTTGCAAATGTTATGCGACGCGCTGGACTAAAAAAACAATTTCGAGGGCTGGATATGTGCGCGTAAAACAAATTGATGGTATATTTAAAACACACGTGTTAAAATTTATTTGGATATCGTATGATTCTTTTAAACACGAAGCTTAAAATGTATTGTTTCACTGTGGAGGTACGATAAATAGAAATATCTGATACCAGAAGAGCAAGTATGATATAAATTCAAAAGATTGTTTTGTATGGTCCAGTAAACGTTAAAAAATCATACGTGTTATTTTAATAGAAAAGAGATGTATTTGTTGGACAAAATCCCAGACTGCCCCTCGAAACTCGTTCGACGCGTGGCAAAGGGGGTTCTATTTGGCTTGTCGCGTCTATATTTTCGCGCCTTTGCGACCGAACGGGAACGATCCCGATGAAATCTAAATTGAAAAAGACTCGTTGCCGTCAGCCACGTAAGCACTTCCTGGGATTCACTTATTCACTTCGGACGTTTGAGGCAGTTCCACCGGGCCGGCTTCAAAAGTGAAATCGAATAAAACTCGCAACTCGGTAACTTCGATCGCGCGACTTCGCGATCGTCCGTTCGGTTCTCACCTCGACGGAAACGGGCTTCGACATTAAACTTTACGAACTATTTTCTCCATCCGAAAACACACTTTTTCATTAACCTTTTTCCTTGTATCCGCTATGTTATTAAATCAATATCTCTATTTGCCAAATATATAAATTTATGCTTCTATTATTCAGAATAACGTTGAAATGGAAATATTCTCGTGATTGATACACATCCAATTCGGTCGTAATGGAGGATGTAATCAATTTATAAAGGCTATTTATACCGCGGAACTACTTGCTTCAAATTTAATTTCCCATTCTCGAACTCTTTTCTGGGAACGTTCGTAATTTAAATAATTTAATTTCCGTCTATACGGGCGATATTTAAAATTTATTTCTCTCGGTGAATTTTTATATTTCGGTAAAATCTGCGTTGTTAGGAAAATTCCAGGAATCTCTGGCGACGTCGTTGCTCTCGAAATAACCGTTGTATTAACCTGATTCAAAAGGATCCAGGTGCTTCGCGATTTTAATAGTTATTTATCCCGTAACTCGCGAATCCAGTTACAACGGCATTCCAAAAGCTCGGTTCTCGGATTTCAGGGCGCCGTAGTTGGCTGGGCAATTTCCGAATCTAGTTATTCCGAAGCCCCCCCCCCCGCGGACGAAATTATTTT